GTTTGATGCTGACACGAAACGAAATGATGTCCGTTTTAAATTATATAATACTTCCTCGCAGCATTCAAGTCGAATCCGTTTCATTTAGTCGATTGTAAAAGTAGTTATTGTTTCTCTCTGTGAAATCTCGGCAGCATATGTAGCGGCCATTTTCAGTAGCAGTAAATACAGGATGAGGCAGCGGGGTCACTGACCATGCGCAATGCGCGCGACGCTGGAACAGGACCAATCAGAAGTCGCACCGCACTCTAAGACCCGCCCTCTTCCAAGACTCCAGCGGGAGAGGGTGGAGCCGCTTCCGTGCGCGCTGACCGCGGGAGATTCAGAACCGCACAAGTAGAATGATTCATCCCAGAGAATCGAATCTTTTGCAGGACAGGTTCATAAAATGACTCGTTTGCAGGACAGGTTCACAAAATGACTTTTTTTGTGTGTATATCGTTGTTATCGTTATTTTATTACCATTACCGACACATTATTGTCTCTTTTCTTGTGTGTTGATGGTGAAAAATACCATTTTGTTATTGAATTTGTAAAAATCCTGTAAGTTACACAATTGCACCAGGTGGCGACAATGACTTCTGAATATTATGAGTTAAGCTAAAACCAGCTGAACACCATTTTAAAATGTTTATTTATTTATTTATTTTATCTTATATCTGTTATTTAACAATTGATATAGTTATTTAATGGTGATATAACCAGCATAAGACATTTTGCTGGGTTTAAACCTTTTTATATATATATAGTCTACAGTTTAAACCCCAGTTGTGCAGGCGTCACAGAGTTACCATGGTCCCCCATTAGAAAAATTATATTCTCTTCTACACTTTTATGAATTCTATTGAGGAAACATGATGAAAAAAAGTGAACACAGACTTGAGTCAATAAAAAAATGTTTTTTTAAAAAATGCATTATTTATTTTATATGAAAAACGTATTAATTCCATCACTCATTTTCTCCTTTAAAAACAAAACCACATTTTCAAACCACATTCACAGAACCTCTGACTCTTCTGGTAAAATCAAACAATTGCCTCAAAACCATTTTACCTGTGCTCAAAATCACACAATGCTCTCAGGTCATACAAGTCGAAATTATAAACACTACAGATCATTCATTAGACACTACATAAAAAAATGGAAAACACAGAATCCAAAGTGCAGTTACAGGAAAAAAGTATATTGTAACTAAGTAAACAAATTTTGCAATTACGTGAAAAAGTATAACGACAACTTACAGTAATAAGGTGAAAAAATTGTATACTGTATCCACTGCAAGTGAATTGTGCTGAATATTGAATAGTAGGCCTATCTAATGTCTGTATATTCACCACTTGCATACTTTTGAAAATACAGCGACCCGACTGTAAAAGCCAAAAAGGTTACAGTAAAAAACTCTCAATGAACAGCATATTACAGTAAAGTACACTCAGAAGAGTTGTGCAGCTGCAGAATCATTATTTTGTTTTTATTATTGAGAAAATGATACAGAATTAAATATAATTAAATATAATTTAAAACAGAGATGAGAAGATCTGGATATTAAAATAGCAAAAGTTTAAAATTATATAAATGACTTAACATGTAACTATGAGGACATTTCAGAAAATAGGCTTACTTGAAACAAAAATCACAGTGTTATCATTTCTCCATACAGTTTCTCATTTTAGTCATACGTAGGAAGGATCTTAATTTCCACAAACTTTCCCTCAACGCCACAATATTTTTTGCACGTGATTTACAGGAATAAGAAAGCAAACATCCAGCCACGTTCCTCATAGAAGACTATTTTCCTGTTTTATAAGATTTGAAGAAACAAAAAACATGAACAATAACCTTTGAGAAGTGGTTGAAGGTTCATTTGAGAAATCAACGAATGAAATCAGCAATGTGATGTTCTTTCCTATATAACTGATCCATAAAAAAAAAAAAAAACCTGTTTCTATACAAACATGTCTGATATTTTTCTATGTGGGTGGAATGATTAATGATATCCTTAAATATCCTGCATGATTCGCATTTCTGCTGCTAAAACAAACAATACACTGACTCAAATCTTTTCATTCATCAGTGAGGGCCTGATGACATTTTACAAGGTTCTGCGTGGTTGTCATTGTATACTTTATTGTCCCCTTAGTGAAATTTGTCTTGGGCACAGTGCATGCTGCATTTCCATAATAATAATAAGACATTAAAAAGAAAAAAAGAAAATAAATACAATTAAAATAAAATTTTAAATCAATCACAGAATAGATCAGTGTTTCCCAACCCTGTTCCTCGCGGCACACCAACACTGCGTGTTTTCTTTGTCTCCCTAATCAAACACACCCGATTCAACCCATTAGCTCATTAACCCACCTGATTATGAGCTGATGGGTTGAATCAGGTGTGTTTGATAAGGGAGACAAAGAAAACACGCAGTGTTGGTGTGCCGCGAGGAACAGGGTTGGGAAACACTGGAATAGATCAATCTAAATAAAATAGATAATGTTAGGTAATCAGTCTAAACCAGAGACAATCATAGGCCTTTGTCCTTGTCATTCAAAAGTTCATAGAAACGGGAACAAGAGTTTTTAAACCGGTTCAATCTACATTTTGGCATTAGACTTTCTGACAATCTTTCTGACAATCTTTGTTGGAGTTTAAAACATAATTTGAAAATTGTCCTGGAAATGAATTGTAAAACTGTTGCCAGTAATTCACTGTTAATTGTACAGTTCTTTACTTTAATCTACATTACAGTATGTTACTTTAAAGATGCCATGCAATAAATTTAAACTTAAAGGTACAATATGCAGGATTTTTGCAGTAAAAAAACTACTAGGCTAATGTTAGATATTTTGTTTAGTTGATTACTTACAATATCCCAAATGTTTTCAACTATTTGTAAATCATGAGAAAATTCAGATTTTAACCAAGGAAAAAAAAATTCTGATTTTAACCTACGAACTCTGCATTCTTCTTGGTTGACAAAGATGGCTACTTGAGGAAGAGTGCCAAATCACAACCTGGGACTGAGCTGCTGAAGTTGTGTCCACAAATAGATAAAAAAAGGTCCAGAACACCACAAGTGTGATTATGTGCCATATTTTTTACAAAATAAAAGTTTCAAAACAAAATTCCTGGTGAAACATTAGAGTAGACTAATGTGATGAACAGTAGCCATTTTTTTCAATTTTTCTTTTTTCATTTTTCCAAATTTACTCATAAATTATTTGATTTTTACTCAAAAAATGAGATGCCTACTCTCAGATAAATGAGGCCCACCATTATGCAAACAGATGCAAACAGAAATATAAAACCAGTCCTAATTGAAAGAGAACAAGTTGTCAAAAAGATTGAATCCAAGATTGGGTGAAAATATGGTATAATGAGTGATTTATAAGCAATTTTTTATAGGCTGGTCATTTTTGACCGAGAACACCACACATCAGTGTGATTACTGTATGTGCCATATTTTTTTACAAAATAAAAGTTTCAAAATAAAATTCCTGGTGAAACATTAGAGTAGACTAGTGTGGTGAACAATAGCTGTGGTGAGGGGGGCGTGGTTGGCACGCTGTCTGCACGGAGAGATGAGTCAAGGGGCTGTGCGGTGAGTAAGTGGATCAAGGACAATTGATAACACCTGTGTCTGATTCCAGTGATTGGTGTGGAGAGACGGTTAAAGCCAGCACAGTGGGAGAAGAACGGGAAGAGAGAAAGGACTGGGACTTGTGCAGCGATCGAGCGGAAAGAGTGCTGGAGAAAGCAACGAGAGCTGAATCAGCGTGGAAAGAGTTTGATTGAAGTTGTGCTGTGCTGTAGAGAAACTACGGTGAACGCGCTTTGTGCGCGCCTTTTGTTTTGTTTGATTCTGAGTTAATAAAGTCTGTACAAGTCCCAGTATCGCCGACCCTGTCTCCTTCTTCCTATACATCTACTAAGAACTGTATTACACTGGTGCCGAAACCCGGGAAGAAGGAGTCTGCCGCCGCCATGCAGAGCTCGTCAGGATCGCCATTTGCGGAAATCATTCAGTCACTCGCGGCTCTTCAGCGCGACCAACATCAAGCCCTGCTGAGCATGAAGGAAGAACAGGATCAGCGCTTCCAGGCGCTGCTCCAAGGCCAGCAGGAAGACCGCGAGTTGTTCCGGAGCTGCCTCGGCCGGGAGATTCCGGCCACTCCCCCACCAGCATCAGCCTCGGCCACACCATTGACCCTCGGGAAGATGGGTCCACAGGACGACCCGGAGGCGTTCCTGGACCTTTTCGAGAGGTCGGCCGAGGCCCGGGAGTGGCCCAAAGAAGACTGGCCGTTGCGTCTCATCCCGCTGTTGTCCGGTGAGTCGCAGATCGCCGCCCACCAACTGCCAGTCTCGAATCTCCTGGTCTACGACGACCTAAAGCGCGCCATCATTCAGCGGGTCGGCCGAACCGCCGAACAGCACCGACAACGCTTTAGGTCCCTGACCTTAGAAGAGGCCGGCCGGCCCTTCGTGATGGCGCAACAGCTCCGGGACTCCTGCCGCAAATGGCTGATGGCCGAGGGTAGCGACGTCGAGAAGATAATCAATCAAGTGGTGCTGGAGCAGTTCGTGGGGAAGCTTCCAAAGAGAACTGCCCAATGGGTCCAGTGCCACCGCCCGACGTCGCTGGACCAGGCCATCCAACTGGCGGAGGATCACATGGTGGCGTGCTCGGGGGTCGGCGAATCCCTCCCATCGGTCTCTCTCTCTCCCTCTCTCTCTCTCTCTCCTAAACCTCTCCCCGCTCCCAGGTCTCGAGGGGGCCTGGTGCCCCGCCCAGCGCCGCGGTGGAAGTCTGGCTGGCCGACGGATAGCGGTTCCGCGGGGAGAACGGGTCCGCGGGGGACACATCCACCCTGGTTCCGGGGACAGCCCTCTCCCCACGTCAATCCCTTGGCCCCCTTCCCTCCGCTGGGGCAGCGGTAAACCCTGGGCCGGCTTGTTGGCGCTGTGGGGACCCGGACCACTTTATTGACCGGTGTCCAGTGATGGAGGTGGGGACCCTGGTCCGGATCCCCGACGCGCCAACGGCCGCCCCCGATCAAGCTGGCCTGTACCAGATACCCGTGAGTATAAAGGGGGGTACTTATCAGGCTTTGGTGGATTCGGGTTGTAACCAGACCTCTATTCATCAAAGCCTGATTCGATCCGGGGCATTGGATAAAAGCCGCGTGGTTAGGGTTCGGTGTGTGCACGGGGTGGTGGAGAGTTATCCCTTAATGTCCGTCGCGGTTCTATTTCGGGGACAAAAACATAGTGTGGAGGTGGCAGTTAACCCGCGCCTCCAGCATCCGCTGATTTTGGGAACTGATTGGCCAGGTTTTGCGAAACTATTGGGGATTTTATGTGCGGATGCCTCTTGGGAAACGAAGCAGCGGGGGAAGACAGCGGTGGTGCAGGTGGGGGATGCTGTACCGGGACCTCTGGGTGCTGCTGCAGGGGAAGAGAGAGCTTTAGAGAGAAATCTCCTCTCTGAGCGCGATGATTTTCCCCTGGAGCAGTCCCAGGATGAAACGCTCAAACATGCGTTTGGTTCGGTCCGTTCCATCGACGGACAGCTACTCCACCCGGACCAACCGCTCTCGTACCCCTATTTTTGCGTGATTAAAGATCGGTTGTATCGGGTGACCCAAGACGCCCAGACAAAGGAAGATACAACCCAGTTGTTAGTGCCAAGGAGCCGCCGGGAAATGCTTTTCCAGGCGGCTCATTGTAATCCGATGGCCGGACATTTAGGGCAACGGGCGACACTAAACCGTCTCATGGCCCGATTCTTCTGGCCGGGCATTCACGAGAATGTGCGCAGGTGGTGCGCGTCTTGTCGTGAATGCCAGTTGGTGAATCCACCGGCCAATCCAAAAGCACCCTTGTGCCCCCTTCCACTGATGCAGGTCCCCTTGAAACGAATTGGTATGGACCTCGTCGGGCCATTAGAACGGTCAGCACGAGGGCATCGTTTTGCGTTAGTCTTGGTGGATTACGCAACACGATATCCGGAGGCAGTTCCGCTCCGCAACATCTCGGCTAAGAGTGTGGCAAGCGCGCTGTTCTCATTAATCTCCCGGGTGGGGATCCCTAAGGAGATCCTCACCGATCAAGGCACGGCGTTTATGTCACGGACGGTTCGCGAACTGTATGAATTACTGGGCATTAAATCGATTCGTACCAGCGTCTATCACCCACAAACGGATGGTCTGGTCGAACGTTTTAATCGCACGTTAAAAACCATGATTCGTAAGTTCGTTCACGAAGACGCCAAAAATTGGGACAAGTGGCTGGAACCCCTATTGTTTGCTGTACGCGAGGTCCCCCAAGCCTCCACGGGGTTTTCCCCCTTCGAGCTTCTCTTCGGTCGTCAGCCTCGTGGGGTGTTAGACGTGCTGAGGGAGACTTGGGAGGACGGACCGTCTGCTAGTAAGAACGAAATTCAGTATGTCCTGGACCTGAGAACAAAACTCCACACCCTGGGGCGGCTATCATTGGAGAATTTGTTACAGGCTCAGAACAGACAGAAACAGCAGTACAATAGGGGGGCTAGACTCCGACAATTTTCACCGGGATATAAAGTGCTTGTATTACTCCCCACGTCCAGCTCGAAATTACTTGCAAAGTGGCAAGGGCCCTTTGAGGTCACACGGCGAGTCGGGGATCTCAACTATGAGGTAATTCGAACAGACAGGGGCGGGGGGCGTCAGACGTACCACCTCAACCTACTAAAAAAGTGGGTTGAGGCGGAGGCAGTGATGCTGGCGACGGTGGTGAGTGGGGAGGAGGACCTCGGGCCAGAGGCGAGGGTTAAATCTCAGTCCTTCTCTCTGGCTCCATCTGGTGACCATCTCTCGCCCTCACAGCTCACTGATATTAAAAGGGTACAAGCGGAGTTTTCTGACGTGTTCTCGCCCCTGCCTGGTCGAACGAATCTCATTCAGCACCACGTTGAGACAGATCCGGGGGTCGTTGTGCGTTGCCGTCCGTATCGATTACCTGAACACAAGAAGAAAACGGTTCAGGCCGAATTAGAAACCATGCTGGACATGGGGGTAATAGAAGAGTCCAACAGTGACTGGGCCAGCCCGATAGTTTTAGTTCCAAAACCTGACGGCTCGGTTCGATTCTGTGTGGACTATAGAAAGGTGAACGCGGTGTCCAAATTCGATGCTTATCCAATGCCGAGGATTGACGAATTGCTTGATCGGCTTGGCTCTGCTCGCTTTTATTCGACGCTGGACTTAACAAAGGGGTATTGGCAGATCCCCTTATCTCCAATGTCCAAAGAAAAGACAGCTTTTACCACGCCGTTCGGGTTACACCAATTCGTCACGCTTCCGTTCGGGTTGTTCGGGGCACCGGCGACTTTTCAGCGTTTGATGGACAGAATCCTCCGGCCGCATGCTGCGTATGCCGCGGCGTATCTGGATGACATTATCATCTATAGCAATGATTGGCAGCGGCATATGCAGTATTTGCGTGCTGTCCTGAAAACGCTGAGAAGGGCCGGGCTCACGGCGAACCCGAAGAAGTGTGCAATTGGGCGGGTAGAAGTAAGGTATCTGGGCTTCCACTTGGGTCACGGGCAGGTGCGTCCCCAAATTGATAAGACAGCAGCGGTTGCAACCTGTCCGAGTCCTAAGACCAAAAAGGAGGTTAGACAGTTCCTGGGGCTAGCGGGATACTATAGACGATTTGTGCCTAATTATTCGGACCTCGCTAGCCCGCTGACTGATCTGACTAAAAAGGGCGCTCCAGATACGGTCCAGTGGACGGAGCAGTGCCAGCAGGCTTTTACCCAGATAAAGGCTGCTCTGTGCGGGGGACCGCTTTTACATGCTCCTGACTTTTCTCTCCCTTTTATCCTGCAGACAGATGCGTCGGACAAGGGCTTGGGCGCGGTCCTGTCCCAGGAGGTGGAGGGGGAGGAACGGCCGGTGCTGTACATCAGTCGGAAGCTCTCTAAGAGAGAGACGATGTACAGCACCATTGAGAAGGAGTGTTTGGCCATCCGCTGGGCTGTCCTCACCCTCCGCTACTACCTCCTGGGACGGGAGTTCACCCTGTGTTCGGACCACGCTCCCTTGCAGTGGCTCCACCGCATGAAAGATACCAACGCGCGGATCACCCGTTGGTATCTGGCGTTACAACCTTTTAAGTTTCAGGTGGTCCACAGGCCTGAGTCGGGCGGTGGGGGTATGTGGTGAGGGGGGCGTGGTTGGCACGCTGTCTGCACGGAGAGATGAGTCAAGGGGCTGTGCGGTGAGTAAGTGGATCAAGGACAATTGATAACACCTGTGTCTGATTCCAGTGATTGGTGTGGAGAGACGGTTAAAGCCAGCACAGTGGGAGAAGAACGGGAAGAGAGAAAGGACTGGGACTTGTGCAGCGATCGAGCGGAAAGAGTGCTGGAGAAAGCAACGAGAGCTGAATCAGCGTGGAAAGAGTTTGATTGAAGTTGTGCTGTGCTGTAGAGAAACTACGGTGAACGCGCTTTGTGCGCGCCTTTTGTTTTGTTTGATTCTGAGTTAATAAAGTCTGTACAAGTCCCAGTATCGCCGACCCTGTCTCCTTCTTCCTATACATCTACTAAGAACTGTATTACAATAGCCATTTTTTTTTTAGCCACTTATTACGTGTGGACGTTTTTTGTCCAATAATCAGAATCTCTGTTTTTTTTTTCTTCAGAATTTAGTTGTAGGAAATTACTACTCATCCAATTTTTTATATCAGCTATGCATTAAGTTAATTTTGTAAATTGGTAAGCTTCGTTTGATTTTGAGGAAATATAGAGCTGAGTATCATTGGCATTACAGTGAAAACTAATTCCATGTTTCCTAAACAAACATGACCTCAAAGGCATGACTTTACGCTTTTCTTTCTTTTTTTGTGTATGTATTACATAATTTGATGTATGCACGGATATTTATTTTCTGTTAGTACCATTGTTTGTTTGTACACACCGATTAACTTCCCTGAGCTGGTAGGTATGTATAAGTTCTGCAATAAAAAAAAAAAATGGATCTGTCTGAAGTGTACATATGAAGTAGACTCAAAATAGAGGTAGCGAGGGTCTGTCTCCCTCGTGCACTTCACAAACTGGTTTGCAAGTGTGTGTGTAAAAGTGGACTGGTCCGGAACACAGCCAATCTTTAATAACATGAAATTTCCTTACTATCATGTGATTTAAAGAAGGCAGTAGGCCACAGATCACCTCTGATTGGCTGACATGTAGATTCGCATAAATTAAGTAAACGTATTTAAGACACAGTTTACCATATAGCCTACTGTAGCAGAATAACACATGCAGTTACAATGGCTTACATCACTCAGGTGATTTAAGGATTCAAGACATTGCTGTTGTATGATATTCAGCAGAGAACCGTTTGCTGATTGGAATCCAGATTCACTTCAGGTTAGTCAAATTTTACTTCATCACAACTATGTTAGTCAGTTATAAATATTATAAATGAGTGAAATCATTGACAAATATGATCCACACCGACATTAGGTATATTTGTAAAATCTAAAAGATTTAAGATTTAATAAAAAATAAAATCACATCACAATTTTCACATCTAGTTGACAATTGACTCGTGACCATTTTAAGAATTTTAATAAAAATGTAGGTCACCTGAATCTAGGGTTTCATTTCATGTAATATATCATAACGTGTGTGTTCAGTATACATTTGTTGACACATCTTTTTATTTTAAAACATAACCAACACAATCAGATCATCTTTTCTTTTTGTTTATCTGGCGGTTATAATACATTTACAGCAGCCAAACAAAATATAAAGTTAACGATGTGAGGGTCAAGAGCCCAACTGAAACAAACACTGATCACTGTGACTCAGACTATGTTTACACGGAAACGATACTGAAGAGAAAAAGCAAAAGTGGCGTTATTACTTTTTATTCTGCGGCCCTGTTTACACAAGAACGCTTGTGGGTGAAAACGTAAAAATATTTTATCGGATGTGCCTTTTGTTTACACGGCGACGGCGCTTTGGGGGCTTAAAAAACGCAAAAGAGTGACACCCTCCAGAGTGGAAATCTTAAAAATGCTCCACTGCCGCGTTCCCGTGTAAAGGGTAAAAACGCAAAAGTCCGCTTGACAGTGAAGGTTGTACGCAGGGGCGCGGACTTTTGTTATTGTGTGGTAGTGCTCCACAACGCCACCAAGCTGCCTGGAGTGAATACTACATTGCATTTCACGCACTTTTGCATCACCATATGCCCGCGGATTTCCCACCCAAAAGCTCGTCTAGAATTCTGCTTTTTTAATGCAGAATAAAAAGTGAAAACACAACGCCATATTTGCGTTTTCTCTTCAGAATTGTTTCCGTTTAAACACAGCCTGCGTTTTGGGTGGGAAATCCGCGTGCAAATGGTGACGCAAAAAGTGTGTGAAATTCAATGTAGTATGCACTCCAGGCGGCTAGGAGTGCATACTACAACACCAAGTCCACAGTGAACTACGGCTCTTTGTAGTAAATGCCGCTCCATCTGAAAGCAGGTGAAGGTGATTTCAGTGTTTCCCCTACAATGTATTCAGCAGCGGCGCAGCGCCGCCGCTGGATTTTCAGCGCCGCCGCAAAATCTTTTCATGATCAGCAATATCATGACATTCACTTAATTAACTTATACACCTAAAAACACAGACATGGCGACCGGCAGCGCTGCTAATGTGGCTCTGAATCCACTTGTTGACAAGAACGGAGGAAAGAGCCATATATGGAAATATTTTCAATTAGGCTAATGTCACGTTGCCATAAGGGGCCGTTCGTTAATTTAAATAAGCCATACTGCCCTACAAAGCAAAAAGGCAGTAACTACGCAGAGTGCAGAGCTGAGAAAAATGACTTTTGCTAGGGCTTTTTGCAGTTACTGTACAAACGACTACCATTTTTCTCTAAAACGACACGCATTTAACATAAGATGTTTTGTCACATAACAAAGGATGCCTTGAATGTCATGAAAATTGTAATAATTAATGCTTTACCAAAACTGCAGTTACTGCCTTTTTGCTTTGTAGGGCAGCATACGCGCTCCACTCAGAATAGAAGTGACGCGGTGGCGGCGCGCTCGTTTATCCAATCGCGCCTCTGTTCAAGGTTGTGGAAACCACTGGAAAGGAGAAAGCGGTGCGAACTGTTTCCATGAGCCGGACGAGGAAGTATCACCTACTGCTCATAGTCCTGATCTCTCTTCCGGCTTAATAATACCAGTCACAGCGCGAAATAAACATGAATGAGCATCTGAAAGTGTGTTAAAGATAGAGTACAACTTATCCAAATCCGTATCATGTCACATTGATTCGCTCAATCAGCGTTTCAACCGTGGAAAGACGTCAGTTAAACAGCTTGTAATCAATGTCATGTATTGTCATATTTACCTCAGAAAACCCACATTAACTCGTTAGTCAGCTAGAAAAAAAACTCTAGAGAGGAGTATTTTGCTAAATATATACACCATATTACATATGCATTATAATCTTAATGTTCTTCAATATTTAATGCATATTTGAATAAATCTGGCAAGTTTTTATGACAGTCACCATTTAAATGTTTATATAATCTTCTTATTATAAAAATAAATAAAAGTGTAATTTAAGTGTTTGTATAGCTACAAAACAGTTCATTATTACCTTCATATTAGGCTAATGAAGACTAGCAGGCTACTACAACTAGACTCCCATAGTTTACAGCATTAGTTAAGAGATTTGATTTCCTTGAGAAAATTAGCCATTTATTGTAACTGTCTGATATCCAAAATAATTAATATTGAATCGAAACGGAATCGAAATCGAATCGAATTGCAAGCTTATGAATCGAAATCGAATCGAATTGTGAATACCCAGCCCTATATTCTAATATGATGATATCTGCTCTTTTTTTAAAGTTTCTTTTATTATTAAAAAATAACATCATGTAATAGTATTTCACAATATTAGGCTACTGTTTTTTCTGTATTTTTGATTAAATAAATGCAGGCTAGATGAGCATAAGGCTTCTTGCAAAAACATAAAATAGTATCACTGTCACTCACACACATCTGAAAAACCCAGAAAAATTAAGTGCTCACAGATTGGGTGTGGCCTTTGCCATTAAGAAAAAATTTTCAATAAATTGTAAATAATCTTTTTCTGGGTTGTGACGTTTCATTTTTCCCCTATCAATTTCTACATTTTAGTTTGAGTTTTAAAACTTACAGGTTATTTTTTATAGTATAACGACCTCTTAACTGTCAAAATATCATTAAAGCTACATTATGTATTTTTCTCCGCCGCTAGGGGTCGCTAACCTCTTACAATAACAAAGGCGTAGGTTTAGGACGCAGTGAATAAGCGTAATGATGGAACTTGTCATGCAGATGGATCTAATGTGTATGGAAAATGTATTTACATTTTTCAAACTCATGGTTGAAGGGGTTATTTAAAAAAAAAATTCTCCCGGAGGTGCAATTCCCCAAACCGCACACCGCCCCGCCCACAGCCCCACCCCGCCCCGCACACCGCGGCTTGGTAACAACCTCCGGCACCTAACAGCACCGCTGCTGAAAAAATTTCTAGGGGAAACACTGGATTTACTGCTAATCAAGGAACCGGCTTTACTTACGAAATGCGCATAACAATATCATGCGATATATCGCGCAGCCCTATACTGACCATGGTATTATTGTGCTCAATTGGCCTGCCAACTCTCCTGACCTGAACCCCATACAGAATCTGTGGGATCCCACATAGCAACATTGTTTCAGCCCAGATCCGGTCCACATCTGGCACTTGAGGCATGCAGTGGGCCGGATCTGGGCCGAAACAATGTTGCTATGTGGGATATTATGAAGAGAAAGTTGAGAGACGCAAGACCCAACACTCTGGATGAGCTTAAGGCCGCTATCGAAGCATCCTGGGCATCCATAACACCTAAGCACTGTGCTTTTTCAGACCAAGACCATACTGATGAGGAGGACGAGCCAACTGTGGTAGGCAAAGGGGCCAACTCTTTCATCAGTCTTCTGGACTACTTTTTCGACAATTATGGTTTGAAGGAGACCCACTTGCCAAAATAAAAACAATGCAGTCATTCAATATCGTCTTTGGCGTGTTGTAACAGGGAAGCATCAGAGGATCACCCTTTTTATTCATGTTAACCGGCCACACCAAGTTTGCTCCTGACTCTATGTTTGGCCTGTTCAAGCGCAAGTACAGGAATTCAAAAGTTGACTGCTTGGCTGACATTGAGAATGTTGTGTGCAAGGCCCTCAACTGTGTGGTGATGAGGTGGGCAATGTCATTGTTCCTATTTTTGGCTGGGAAAATTACTAGTTACAGTTTCAGGAAGCTCCCCTCTACCAAGCCACTCCATCACATTGATTGCAGAGACCCTAATGTGCAAGACCTGATCAGAATCTGAGCCAGTCACACACAAGTTGCTGAAGTGTAACCTAACAGATGTACCGTTTGAAAAACCTGCCACTTTAAACCCAGAGGGTCTTAGTGAAGAAAAGAAAAAGTACCTTTTCCATGATATCAGGGAATTTGTAGCAGAACTCGTGTTGTGGGAAGACCAAAAAAGACCCCACGAGTGCTTGCCAAAAGAATAAAACTGGCATAGAACATGTATATGCACTCCCTTTAGAGTAAGATTTCTAATAATTAAAAAAAATACCTTTGTGATTTATATTGATTATTATTGTTATTTATATTGACTGACCACGACCACATGACTGACCACATCATCGTCTGGCGGACTGCCTAGGTGGAGTACGTTTTCCATTCTCCATTGCTGGGCCCACCGCAAGCCCATCAATGGAGACCTGTATTGACTTGACTGATCATGTCTTTGTACAGTGTTATTTATTCCTTTTTGTTAATCACCGCAGGCTGAGACTGTTCTAGGTTGAGTGAATGTTGTTTTCACTTGTGTCTTTCTGATATGCGTTATTTATTTACCTACGGACGCTCTTGTAAGTGGATCTCTGTCTCTTTCATTATTATTAAATACATTATTATGAATTATTCTCGAGTTGTATTGGCAGGTTATTTCTTGATTATGCATATCCTACTATTAGAGTGCTGGTAATGGTAGGCCTGTACAGTATAACTCTGTACACAGTATTGTGGTATCTCTTTCCTCCCCATGAGTTTCAATGTTATTTGTATGCATTTTGGTCATGCATATCATGAAAAAAGATTCATATTTACCAAATTAATAGAATTTCCCCCTAAAAGTATCATACATCACTGAATAGGGGAGAATGTAAGCTTTAATTTGGTATGACACATAGTCAGAAAAATTATGGATCAGAGGTATTGCCAGAGGAATTGCCATTTTAAATTTTACTTATTTTCAAATTGGAATTTCTCAAAAACCTAAAATTCCGAGCTCGGAATCCTCCAAATATTTAAAATGGCCCAACTCGGTCAATATTAGGGATATCAATGAGAAACTTTCACAGCCTATTCCTTAAATTGGGTAGAATGGCCTGTTGTTACCAATGTCTTTTTCTGCAGCATGTCTAAATAAATAAATAAATAAACTATTTTTAAAATGATTTACTATTTGTTTATTTAAAGGAAGACAAATGGCTTGGGAATAAAGAGGGGGAAAGGAGCTGTAAACCTGACAAGGGTGCTTATGAGAAGAACTGTCATCCCAGGAAATTTAAATCAAGCAACATGGGTAAGAAATGTTATATTGATAACATCAATATACTATACACATTAGTTGTGAGCATAATTTAAGGTGTTTATATTTCTGTGATGATGGCATTTCATGAAGAGAATTCTTGAATATTGCAGTGCCAAGAGAAGCAGCAGGAGAACAAATGGCAACTCTACAATCACCACTAACAGTAACAATAACACTGACAGTTGTCACAGTTGCAGTAGTAACAGGTTATGCAGTAACATCAACAATAGCTGAAGCAGTAGTAGGGGCAGCAGCAGGAGCAGCAGCTGGAGTAAGCATTTTACACTCACTGTGGGAAGCAGAAGCTAGAACACGAACAGTAGCAGTAGCAGTGGCAGTAGCAGTAGCAGGAGGCCTAGCAGGAACAACAGCAGCAATATTGCTCTCATTGTTAGGAACACAAGCACTAACAGGATCAGCAGTAACTGGAGCTCTGGCAGGAGCTGCAATAGTTGCGGCAGGAAGAACACAATTACAGTGGGCAATAAATACAATAGAGTGGGTGAGAGATTACTTAAAACGGGTGGTAGACCTTTTAAAAAGAGTAAAAGCAGCATTACCTGCAGCAACATTAATTGGAGGATCAGGAATAGCAGCAGCAACAATATTTAAAAAAATATCACAGACAAGAGCACCAGGATCAGCAGCATCAGAATCACTAGCACCAGAATCAACAGGATCAGCAGCATCAGGACCAGCAGGAGTAGCCGGAGCAGAAATAGGAGGATTACTGGGAGGTATATTTGCAGCAGGAGCAAGAACAGGAATTAATGGATCACAACAGAATGGAAAATCACAGACACAATCATCTGTGAAGGTAAGAGTGCAGATTGGTGCGGCATCCTGTGCAATTTATACCTGCTTTCAATGCGAGTTGTTTTATAACTGGTACACAGTGATGGGGAAGTTACTTTTAAAAAGTAGTGTAACTCATAACTTAGTAACCCCATATGGAAAATATCTATATGTAGAAAGCTTGAAATGACTTTAAATGAAAGAATTCAAAACGAAAAGAAATAGGCTACTCTCTGATTATGTAATCCATGCATTTCTAGGTGTTCTCAGAGATGGTGATCGCTGTCAAATCGCTGTGAAAACTGTCCCTGGGAAAAAAGTAACATTGCGGCGAATTGAAAAAGGAACTAGGTTACGTTACGAAATTTTCAGTAGTAACGCGCAACACTACTATTTACCCGAAAAAGTAGTTGCGTTACTGTACATTACACGACACTGCTGGTACATTACTCCCAATCCAGGGTTTGGGAGCAAGTAACAAAAGAAGAAAATGCATAACAAAACAAACAAAACAAAAAGTAAATTAAAGATATGGAAAAGAACAGGATACTCCCAGTCAACACATGAGATCATGTGATCACAGTAGCATTACATTATCCTCCTACAGTGATACTAGCGGTGTAAGTTATATATGAGTTCATTGTGAATTCAACATGTTGAGCAGGTTGAGAGGAGGAAGTTCACATATCGGTCACTAGGGGGACATTCTACTTCCTGTTCCTCAACACTATACTAGCTCATTGTGAGATCACTGTGAGATCAAATTGTTGACTGGGTCCAAACTCCTGCCTAAAAATTCAACACCACATTTAATTGCAAAGAAGTAACTTTTAAATAAACATTAAAATCTTGTGGCTTGCCAGATGGGACCATAATGTGCTTTGAGCAGTGTTGATTTAACACTCTGTATTTTGCTGAGTATCCTCATAAGAGCAGTGTTAAATTAGTAAAATAACGTCTTACGTGAACATACAAAGTTTGAGAGATATCATGAGAGAATGAGGCGCGTGTGAGAACCATATCATGTTCAGCAGCGGCTGATCTTAAAGGGCATATTGCAGGTTAGAGGACCCAACGAGTCAATGCATAGAAAAACAATGTAGGAACTAGATTTTATTTAAAATATACTTATAAATACGCTACAGAAGCTTCTGGAGTCGTTTTTGTGAGAAAATTTTACCTCCACATCTGAAAATGGGCGTGGCGGGCGTGACGCAAGAGCTAGAGAGCGGTCGATTCACAAAACAGGAAAACAATGGATCGCAATGACATTTCGGATGCTGAGGAAATACTCGTGTGATGGACCAAGCCATAAAGTTATGAGCCTGTTATGCTAAAGAGAGCAGGGGCAGGCCAGGATAATGTCAGACAGAACGGTCAGAGACAGATTGAGTTGTGGTGTGAGGAGAACCAGTGGAGAACAGGACAGGTGCCTTTAGGTGAGAGACGTGCTTATAGATATACACGTTTGTAACCGCTAAGCTTAAAACAGCCGAGGGTTATGCAGAGGGTTGAAGTGGGCTATAGTTGACGCGATTACCGTGTTCGATTTGGCTTGATTGAATAATGCAACATAGCTTAAAGTTCGGTTTTCTTTTCTGTTGTGAGAGATTTATTGGATTTACACAAGGATTTCCTTTTCCATAACGGAACAGTAGTCCATCTTCACCAACACTTTCACATTACAAACATTCAACCACAGCCTCGGTGGCGGTCAAAAACTAGTTTGCCCTTTTCCCTCTGGCAACACCTGTCCTTGAGCTAACCTCCTAAGTAGATAAGCCCCAATTGATGTGCCATAACCCTAGTGCCACCTAATGGCCAAACCTGGACATAAACATTAAAATGGCTCCTACAACGTTCGCTAACGATATACACTGTGCTCACAATATTGTACAGATTATTGTGATCCAATAACAGGCCAGCAGACATTAGTATGTTTAGGGTAGATTTATACTATTAAATGTATAAAAACTGGGGCTGGGTATTGAGACAAATTTCACAATTCGATTCGATTTCGATTCACAAGCTTGCAATTCGATTCGATTTCGATTACGATTCGATTCAATATCGATTATTTTGGATATCAGTTGAAAAAAATGGCCATTTTTCTCAAGGGAATCAAATCTCTTAAATGCTGTAAACTATGGGAGTCTAGTTATAGCCTATAGGCTTCATTAGCCTAATATGAAGGTAATAATGAACTGTTTTGTAGCTATACAAACACTTAAATTACACTCTTATTTATTTTTATAATAAGAAGATTATATGAAATATAAACATTTACATGGTGGCTGTCATAAAAACTTGCCAGATTTATTCAAATATGCATTAAATATTGAAGAACATTAAGATTATAATGCATATGTAATATGGTGTATATATTTAGCAAAATGCTCCTCTCTAGAGTTATTTTTCTAGCTGACTAACGAGTTTATGTGGGTTTTCTGAGGTAAATATGACGATACATGACATTGATTAAAAGCTGTTTAAATGACGTCTTTCCACGGTTGAAAAACACTGATTGAGCGAATCAATGTGACATGATACGGATTTAGATAAAGTAAGTTGTACTCTATCTTTTAACACACTTTCAGATGCTCATTCATGTTTATTTGGCGCTGTTCTGGTATTATTAACCCGGAAGAGAGATCAGCGCTGCTGCTTCTCTTGAGCTGCGCCAGAGCGATCTCACAGCGCCAAAACCTTATTTATGTTTTTGAATTTCTAAAGAAAATGGACGTAATTTGAAAATTGAGACTTTGTTTCATATCAATAGTAACAACCCAGATAGCAAACTGACATTGAATCAACGTGGAAATATGACATAGAAACAACGTTGATCTGACATTGTTTTGCTCATCGAATTAACGTTGAACCAACGTCAGACGCGTCATTCTTTCAAAACTAACGGAAAATCAACTTGAAATCAACGTTGTTTCAACGTTATGAAAGCAAACCAATTTTCGATTTTCATTTAGCTTTGAAGAATGCCGCTTCTGACGTTGGTTCAACGTTAATTCGATGAGCAAAATCAACGTTGTTTCAATGTCACGAGAGACGTCGTTTCCACGTTGATTCAATGTCAGTTTGCTGTCTGGGAAAGGACAAAGATTATTGTCATTTTTTGGATGCGCGCAGCCGCGATACAATGTCCCATTCATTCAAATGAAACAGGATGACTAATCGATTCTTGAGATTTAAGAATCAATATCGGTTCGTTAAAGGGTAACTAAACACTAAAACAACTTTTTTTAGTTAATGATCTGTAAGAATGGAGCTTCATAAATGCTGTTCATTGATTCCAGTAAATTTTTTGACATTTGGGTTTAAAGTGTTTTAATTCTACAATATATAGTGTAAAAACGTCTTAGTGCTGCCCTCTTCAGGTTGAACGGTGGCTACTGCAGTTGAATTTTCCTATTGGATGTTTGCGGTGGTACGTGACACAGCGGTTGTTGGTGACATAGGCAAGTTCCATACAAAGAGATGCGTCTCAGGTGCACGCCCCCCTCCGCTGGGCTCTGCCCACTTTTCCAGCATTTTTCAAATATTGCCAGTGGGTGGAGTCAGGCTCTTACCAAGGGTTTAATTACCCTTTAAAAATGAGAATCGATTAATATCGAGAAATCAATATTTATTACGCAGTCCTAATAAAAACTATACTTGAGTAAATTTCTATTGTACTAAAAGTATACTTGGGTACATTTTTAATACATATTTTTCACCTGGGTTATGACATAAAAAGAAAATTAAAGATTTGAGTATTTAAACAACCAATTTTGTTTTTCAATTACAAGATGCCTCTATTTAGGGCATGACTAAGTTACCTATATCACACTATTTGATGCCATTGGTAGTATACGACGATCAATATTCTTGATTCGGCATCCCATATGAACTCCATCATATCGCTGGGATGATAATCATTTGATCTGAAGTGAACATTACACACAACCGCGTTTTCTGAAGCCGATGCGGATCAGAAATCCTGTCTCTTCACCTGCACAAACCACACCAGGAAAGAAAGATATAGGCTATAGCACCGTCCCTTTTCTTGTAGGCCCTAATGGAAACTCGATCTTGAAGTCCTGACAGGCCGGAGTTTTTGCAACCTCCACAAACACAATAATTTACCATGACGATGATGAATTAAAATACAAAAACTACCGAAAGCACACTGACTGACGACCACTCTCACTGAAAACCAGCCGACTCTGCATTAAGCAGAGGCTGAGGCTCCCTAAAATAACGTAAAATGACGCAATGTTGAAAAAAAGCTGTTTTTACGAGCAGTCCAGGAAACGCTTTATCTACTAAACTAGTGCCCTTATGTTGTTTTAAAACATTTTAAATCCTGCATTAACTTTATGGTACACTTTAATCCTGCATTAACATATGGTATTTTCATACAAGGATATCTATAAATTTAGATTTTTTTTACCTGCAATATGCTCTTTATAGTGACAGCAGCCACTAATTCTTTCTGTCAGAAATGTTAAATCAAAGAGAAACAGTAACGGAGAAAATTTCTCACTGCACTTGACTAAACAATTTTCGTTTCTTTAATAAGGATTCATCTACATTTAATTTTTTACTTATGCAGAGCACACTGTTTGATATCTTTATCAATTTTCTGTAAACTCCAAAGACAGAGGGATCACCAAAGACAGCGGAAACTCCAAAGACAGAGGGATCTTCAAAAACAGAGGGATCTCCAAAGTCGGAGGAACCAGGTAAAAACAATATTTAAATTACAGAAACACATCCCACTTTGCCTTTCGGATGAGGCTCATGTTCACTACAGTAATTTTGTGAGGTGGTGGAATCATTTACATTAATGTAATTGTTTGGTTTTAGCCAGGTTTCTGTCAAACACAGCACGTCTAGGTTATAGTCTGTAATCATATCATTAACAATAAGTGCTTTTGAAGTAAGGATTCGAATATTCAGCAGCCCAAGCTTTATCATTTGCTCCTTTTATATGTAAAAAAATAATATTTCAAAAAATTATTCCGATTTGAAGCTTGTGACATATACTGTAAATGTTCACATTAACCCAATCACATGTTTAGCTTTCATGTAAATACTACATTCAGATTCATCAATCGGAAAGAATTCAGTCCAATTGAAAAAAAAAAAAAAATCACCTTTCTAATGCATATAGGCAGCCAATTTTTGCTAATATATATATAGGCTATATATATATACACACACATATATATTAGTGCTATCAAACGATTAAAATATTTAATCACGATTAATCGCATCAATGTCATAGTTAACTCACGATTGATTGCACATTTTTATCTATTCTAAATGTCTCTTGATTTCTTTTTGTCACATTATTTTTTCCTCATTATAATACCCTTATCAATATGGAAAAGTGGATCAGCATGCTTTGTGCAAATGTTTTTTATTGAAAACAACATTGCCATATACCGTGTTCAACATTCTCACTTGGAGCAAATAATCTCTCACACAATGTAACTCTGTCCACCAATAAAAGAAAGGTGAAAGAAATAGGTGACGAGGTCCTGATATTGACGAGGGGGTGGTGAATTTGCATTAGCTGTGTGTGTGTGTGTGTGTGTGTGTGACACAAAAGCATGTGAAAGAAAAACTACAAAGTTTGCTAGGCCAAAAAGACCATTAATCGCGCGATAAAAGAAAATGACGCCGTTAAAATGGGTTTGCGTTAACGCTGTTAATAAAGTGTTTAACTGACAGCCCTAATATATATATATATATATATATATATATATATATATATATATATACAGTGCCCTCCACAATTATTGGCACCCCTGTTTAAGATGTGGTCGAGGACTTTTAAAAATTCTCCCTTTTTTTTAAACAACATAGAATCCAAATGCAAAAAAAGAGAAAAATCCAACCTTTTATTTAAGTACATTACTTTGGTGGTAAAAAAAAAAATTTAAAATTTAAAAAAATAAAAACTTCATATCATGTGTCCCACAATTATTGGCACCCCTGATGTTAATACTTTGTACAACCCCCTTTTGCCAACAAGACAGCACTTAATCTCCTCCTATAACATTTCACAAGATTGGAGAACACAGAGAGAGGGATCTTTGACCATTCTTCTTTGCAAAATCTTTCTAGATCATCCAGAATCCTGGGCCCTCTCTTGTGCACTCTCCTCTTTAGCTCACCCCACAGGTTTTCGATTGGATTGAGGTCTGGGGACTGAGATGGCCATGGGAGGACCTTGAGTTTGTGACTGAACCATTTTTGTGTAGATTTTGCCACACGTTTTGGATCATTATCCTGCTGAAAGACCCAATGACGACCCATCTTCAGCTTTCTGGCAGAGGCCATCAGGTTTTTATTTAAAATGTCCTGGTAGTTCAAAGCGTTCATAATGCCATGCACCCTAACAAGGTTCCCAGGGCCTTTGGAAGAGAAACAGGCCCACAGCATCACAGATCCTCCACCATACTTCACGGTGGGCATGAGGTACTTTTCGGCATACACATCTTTTGTTTTACACCAGATCCACTTAGAGTGTTTGTTGCCAAAAAGCTCAATCTTAGTCTCATCCGACCAAAGCACACGATCCCAGATGAAGTCCCAGTGCCGCTTGGCAAACTCCAGACGTTTACGTTTGTCAGTGTTAGTGAGAAAAGGCTTTTTCCTAGCATGCCTCCCAAACATCTTGTTGGCATGTAGAGAGCGTCTGATGGTTGTTTTGGAGATTTTGTGACCCCAAGATGCCACTATTTGATGCAATTCTGTGACAGTGAGCTTAGGACTTTTTTTTACTTTTCTTAGCATCCTCCTCACAGTGCGTTGTGGCAAGATAAACTTGGGACCTCTTTCAGCCTTGTTTGTCACTGTTCCTGTTGTTTTAAACTTCTTAATGATTCCTCTAACTTTAGATATGGGCAATATAAGGTGAGTGGCTATTTTCTTGTAGCCATTGCCTGACTTATAAAGGTCATCACACATCTGCCTTACTTGAATGGTGTGTTCTCTTGTCTTTGCCATGTTGACAAATGGGTAAGAGAATTAGGCCTCTGTGTCATGTCATATTTATACCCCAGGGAAATAGGAAGTCATGAATTACTAATTAAAAGTTCCTAGATATCCTGACCAACATTAGCAACTACAGAAAATATATATTTTTTTAAAAATCAATTACATTTTCAGCGGAATTGTTAGGGGTGCCAATAATTGTGGGACACAGGATTTGAAGTTTTTATTTTTCTAAATTTTTACATTTTTTTTTACCACCAAAGTAATGTACTTGAATAAAAGGTTGGATTTTTCTCTTTTTTTTGCATTTGGGTTCTATGTTGTTTTAAAAAAAAAAGGAGAATTTTTAAAAGTCCTCAACCACATCTTAAACAGGGGTGCCAATAATTGTGGAGGGCACTGTATATATATATATATATATATATATTAGGGGTGTAACGGTACACAAAAATCACGGTTCGGTACGTACCTCGGTTTTAAAGTCACGGTTCGGTACGTTTTCGATACAGCAAAAAGAAAGAAATGCCAGAGAAATTTCCTATTTGTTTAAAGAAAAAATATTTTTAAATAAGTGTGAGTTCCTAGATCTTGAAACTTTCAGGTTTATAAATGGGGGTCATCTTTGAAGGATGAACAAATAATGTTTTGGTCATCACATTAAAAATAACTTTTAAATATATATTTATTTATATAATATTTGAATTTTGAAATGCTGGAAAAAGATGTGTGAAGTACAAAGCATTTCATCATTCCAGCCAAACTGGTTCCAGTTTGTGTTACTATATTAAATCCATGGTGAATGTTGCTGGTCTGTGGACGTAAAGTACTTTATGCACGGCACAATGTTTCTCCTGGTTTCCATGACAGCGCTGTTTGATCTAATAGAGATCTACGGTTATTAACGAAGAAATGTGAACGCTTCTCACTGACTAGATCTCGCAGCGATGTTATTACCTCAGTGGCGAATTCAAATGTTTTCTTTACCGGATCTCTTAGCGCGGTGTGGTAACAGTGTTTCTTGATCGAGATCGGCTCGCGCTGCACAGGTGTTGCTGGTCCGAACTGATAAACGATCCGTGAAGCACATAACGAGGAGCGCAGTTTCGTTCTGCTTTCATTACGCTTGCCATTTGATGTTGCGCAACGTTGTGTTGGCCGCGTCAGCACGAATTTTGTCGGCAGGAAAAATGGTCCATGCAATCGTTCGGTTTGTATGCGTACCGAACCGGAAGCCTCGAACCGAAACGGTTCAATACGAATACATGTACCGTTACACCCCTAATATATATATATATTAAAAAACATATATTTACAAAATTATAGATGTCATCTTTGTGATTTGTATTCATCATGTAGGCTATAGTTTCTGATCAATAAATTTCATCACACTTGTGATTTTGTGACATCAAATAATGGCTTTATTTATTCAGAAACAATATCATTTTCATTTTCATTTTATTAGTCCAACAAATATATCACTCCCTAAATAAATACAACTTACTGAGTGGGCAGGACCATTGGAGGTGTTTGCTACCGGCTAGTGACTGTTGACTGGAATCGCACACCAGATGAGTCTGTATACTCACTTTCAAAAGTTCAAGGCATCAATCCTAAACAGGGAATGTAATTATTATACAGACAATAGTTCACCTAAAAAATTAGATGACTTATCGCTAGAATTCAGCGCACATACACAAGTCATGAAAAGGTGCATAATCAAGTGGTTAGCCTAATTCTACCTTTTGTGTTCCACAAATGAAAGCAAATATTATAAGTTTGCAACAAGGGTGAGCAAATGGCAACATTTTTGTTTTTAGTTGGATGCTAAAATCTTTAGTTGTAATATTTGACAAACTGTTTTCTCTCTTTCAGATTCACCTGAAAACACAGAGAATTGTGTAAAAGGAAACAGCCTCCGTGATCAGTTGACTGACGTTTTTGAACCAAATGATCCAATAAAGGTGAACATTCACAGAAAATCTGTAGAGAGGTTTTAGTCTTATTAATTCCATTTTCTTCCATTATCTGTGTCACTTTAAGTAGACATCATGCATACTGAAGTTCTGTGAATTCTTGTGTGTGTGTATTTCAGAAAGAAAGGCTTCAGGATTTTTTTTAGATTCATGGAGATATACTCATGAGTGTCATAATTGTACTCGAGTAACATTAAACTTGGTTTAATAGAATTTATTTTACTTTTTAATCTTACTTTATAACCTTTCTCATTATCAATACTGAAGATGATTGCATGTGAATAAAACAAAATTAAATAAAGCTATTATTATCGTGTCTATTAAACAGAGAGAGAACGTCAGTTCAAATCAAGAAAATATTAAAAGTGAAGAAATACAGCTCCTGTTTCACAGACTTCATCTTCACAGAAACAAACTGAGAGCTGAAGACGTTCTTCAGATAACTAAACATTCATTACAGTCCCAAGAGTCTTGTGCTGAAGAGGAGCTGAGTCAGACTTTCATACAAAAACTACTGATGATGGACTACAGAGTAAGATATATTCATGTTAATAAGGCCAATGAACAGAATCAAACACAACAAAGAGACACTGATGTATCTAAAGACATTGGTGATATATTCCAAGTGTCAGTGTCTAACACTGGACCCAGTCAATCTGATGACATTCACCCGATGGATGTTCAGATGGCCGTGTTTTATTGTGCTGATGGTTTCCTGAAGCAGCTGATGGTCACTAAACTGTCCCAGTGTCAGTACGCTCTGCCTCTGCTTGTTCCTGATCCAGACAAACAACAGATTGAGTTTCCTCTCTGGACATTCAGACAAATCAACAAGAGCTGGAAGATGAAGAACACCAACAATGAAATCATCAGTCAAACCCAGCCGATCTACAAGGTACAAACTCCAGTGGTGTGTTTCTTCAGGTTTGGCTCTGTGTCTTCATCCAAGTCTCATCTGATGAACAGTCTGATCAATGAGAAACACAACACGTTCTTCCACAGGAACTGTCCAGGCAGCAGCAGAACCAGAGTCCTGATGGATGGAGTGGTGGAGATCGCCTGGTTCTGCCCCTCTGGGTCATATGATGATAAATTCACGGACTGTGTTGCGTTCTGTAATCTACACGGAGATGCAGGAGATCATGAGAAACAGCTGCAGATCCTCACTGAAATGGCCTCAGTCAATGTTGTTCTTCTACCACAACTGGACAGGCATGACATACATGCAGAAAAGATCCAGAACCTGTTCAAAATCACAACACCGCTTATTTGTCTTATTACGGAGGATGATTCTACTTTAATGAAGATGAAGAAAGGGAAATTCAAGATTAGTCTGAAAGACAGAAATCAGTCAGATGTTTCTGAAGAACTCAGAAGAGCCATAAATGAGTGTCTCTCAGAATCATCTTCCACTTTCAGCCTTGAAGATTTGTCCAAACACTCAGACATCAGAGTAGATGAGGAAGAAGACTGCAGGAGAGGAAGAGAAGCAGCACAGCAGATGATGAGTTTACTGGAGAATAAAGATCTGACAGAAATTAAAGACTCATTTCTGCCTCATCAGGGGAAACTGTGGCATCAGTGGAGTCAGAAGAACAAAGAACTACATCGACCTGAAGGACATAATACAGAAATGAAAACAAGTGAAAAAAAAACAGAAATGAAGAAGATACGTGAACAACAGTATGAATGTGACACCGGTGAGTTTATGATGCACTTTATTAAAAAAAATATATCACATCAGGAAAGAGAAGGGATGTTTTTTCTTAAATGGCTCAGAGTCTTGCTGGATGAACACACATCAGCTGACCTTTCTGATCTACATCATAAATATGATGAAACATGGTCATCAGTTGTAAAACTGAAAGAGGATCATGCTAAACCTGAAAAACTGAAAGCTGAACAAGCAGAACTTGAGAGAACATCCGAGGATCTTCAATCTGCAGGCTTTGGTCTGGAGCACATCATGAGGGAGATCGGTCAGATCTATGAATCATGTTCATCTGTGAAGAAGAACAAGAAAGATCTGCAGGTTCACTTCTCTTCTCTCCCGAGTCTTGCAGCAGAGATGATGATCTCTGGATTTCCACTGGAGCTGATGGATGGAGATGCTGCTCATGTTCCTCTCGTCTGGATCTCTGCTGTTATAGATGAACTCATCCAGAAACTGGGAGACCAGAAAGTCTTTGTGCTGTCAGTTTTAGGGCTTCAGAGCTCTGGGAAATCCACAATGCTGAACGCCATGTTTGGACTCCAGTTTGCCGTCAGTGCTGGCAGGTGCACCAGAGGAGCTTTCATGCAGCTGATCAAAGTCTCAGACGAGATGAAGACACAGATGAACTTTGACTATATTCTGGTTGTTGATACTGAGGGTCTTCGTGCTCTAGAACTGACTGGAAGATCAACAAGACATCATGACAATGAACTGGCCACATTTGTTGTTGGTCTTGGAAATCTGACCTTGATCAACATCTCTGGAGAAAACCCATCTGAGATGCAGGACATTCTTCAAATCGTTGTTCAGGCCTTTCTGAGGATGAAGAAGGTAAATCTGTCTCCCAGCTGTGTGTTTGTGCATCAGAACGTCTCAGACGTCACAGCTGGAGAGAAAAACATGGATGGAAGGAGACGACTGCTGGAGAAACTGGATGAGATGACAAAACTCACTGCTAAAGAGGAAGTCTGTGATGAAGAATGTTTCAGAGATGTCATTAGATTTGATGTACAGAATGATGTGAAGTATTTTGCTCAGCTCTGGGAAGGAAGCCCACCAATGGCACCATTAAACCCAAAGTACTGCGAGAACATTCAAGAACTAAAAGAATATATTCAAACAAATGCATCAAAGTCACATGAACTGATGCTGACACACTTAAAAGACCGTATTAAAGATCTCTGGGAGGCTTTACTGAATGAACGGTTCGTCTTCAGCTTCAGAAATTCTCTGGAGATTTCAGCCTACAGGAAACTGGAGACCGAATACAGCAAGTGGACCTGGAGTCTTCGCAGTGCCATGATAGAAACTGAGAACAAACTACACAACAAAATAGAAAATGAAACAATTCATGAGGTTGAGGAAACTGATCTTCAAAGAGAACTGAAGAAGACAAGAGAAGAAGTGGAGAAATCAATGTCTGAATTCTTTGAGAAAGACAGAGATAAAGATATACTGATTCACTGGAAAACATCATTTGAAATCAAAATCAATGATCTTCAGGAAAACATTTTAAAAGAAACCAAGAGGAAATTAAATGAGGTTCTTCAGCAGCGAGACTTGAAGAAAAAGATTGATGCTCAGAGGACACATCAAGAAAACACTCTCTATGAAAAGAGCAAAGAACTTGCCTTAAAACTCAAAGACAAAGCTAATGATGAAGAAACACTGAAGAAAGAGTTTGATTTGTTTTGGAAACAGTGTGTGAATAATATCAAGTCAGATACTCCTGAAATCAAAGAAATTGATATAATGACAGATATGAGAGAGATCCTCAGTGACATCAATAAAAGTGTTTCTTTAGACCACTGGGATGATGGCAAAGATATTTTCTCTGTGCCCAGTTTTTCTGATTATGTAAAGGTAAAAAAATCAAGTGGATTTTTTACAAATGTTTACAGATCAGCTGAGAAGTTTGTTTGGGGTTCTCCAACTAAAGAGGATGAAGTCCAAATAAGAGCATTAATCACAGACATTGATCTGCATACAGACACAGAGATTCAATCATTTAACATTTCAAAGATGGGCTACAACAAGAGCTGCATTCAACAACTCACAGGTTACATCAAGGCAAGAATAGTACAACATGTGGAAGGATCAGTGAGATATGAGTTCAAGAGGCAATTCTTCATGGATTTGGTTTTTTCCATCTTCAAGAGAGCAAACAAGACGATCACTGACCAACACAGACTATTCAGGGAAGCCAGTGATCCTGTAATATATCTTGAGAAGAAGAGAGAAGAGTACTATAGTATTTTCCAGAAATACTGTCATGGATCAACATCAGCAGCTATTTTTGGAGAGATCATCTGTCAGAAACTGAAAGAGCCCATTGAGCAGAGTGTCTACAAGAAGACTGCCAGAGATCTGACTAATGAAATGAGATCAAACTGTGAATCACTGAATGGAAACAGATCAAATCTGGAGAAACACATCCTGAAGACACTGGCAGAAGAGGAGGATTTTGACAAATACATGAACTACATTAAAACTCCTAGAGATCACTTCAAAGGTTTCATCAGAGATGAAGTCAAACTGTACATCGATGATAAGTTCAGTGTCAGTGTTTTACCCGAGATGAAGAAGAACGTTGAACTCCTGCAGCAGAAGATCATGGAAGCAGCACATGAATCTACTAAACATGTTCAAGAGAATAAAGGAGATGTTGGTTTGTGGTTGAAGAGTTTCACACAGCGGCTCTCAGATGAGCTGATCTTCTCTGAAAAAGACCTCAGTGGAGTCAAACATGATGATGTTGATGTGAAACTCCTGGAAGATGTGATAAAGAAAGAACTTCCTGATATAATATCGAACATCAGCAGAGGATTCACAAAGACTTTTCCAGAAAAGCTGGATGATAAAGAAAGACCAGATGAGCTTCTGATTGGTCACTTCTGTCAGTGCTGTTGGGTTCAGTGTCCGTTCTGTAGCGCCGTCTGCACCAACACCATAGAAAACCATGATGGAGATCACAGCGTTTCTTTCCATCGAGTGGATGGAGTTAATGGATGGAAATACCATCAAACAGAGAATCTCAGTGCTGATTTTTGCACAACTTTAGTAACAAGTGATAAAAGATTTCGTGTATCTGATGTGTGGTTTCCTTGTAAAGATTACAGAAGCGCAGGAGGAGTTTATGCGAAGTGGAGCATCACCCCTGATCTCTCTGAACTGTCCTACTGGAAATGGTTTGTGTGCCGATTCCAGAAACATCTGGAAAAATATTATAAGAAAACATTCCAGGGTCATGGGAAGATTCCACCTGAATGGAGAAATCACACACGACAAGATGCTATTCAGAGCTTGGATAAATGCTTTGTATCTAAGTAATCTCAATAGCAACCTCTGTGGTGTTGTTCTATTATTTTCTTTGTTTTTAATATGATTTTAATTTTTAATCACTAATAATCATTAGTCAGTTATGTAGTTGTCATTTGATTTATCATATTATCATTTATTATTTGCATTATTATTTGATTTACATAATTTTATGATTTAATAATTGTATTATTAATTTCTATAATTTTATGTTTTTTTTATTTAGTAGGCCTATTACATATTTTCTTGCTCTTGCAATGCTTACTATTGCTGTTTAATCTTATGATTGTGTGCTTTCATTGATGTTTGTCTTCATGAATAAGAGATTAGAGAATGTCTCAATTTTAAGGTTTTTAACATCACAGGATGAAGTTGTGAAGAAGTCATTTTTCATTGCTGTTGCTTGGCTATAATAACTCTGGTTGGATTTGCACTAGTCAGACTTCGAAACAATAAAATGTGAGCACTGAAACATATGCATGAGATTATTCAATAAACCAAATTTTCTCACACTCATGTTTTCCATCACTTTGTCTCCTGCTCTCTGCACCTTGATTTCTCTGTCCTGATAGAAGGTAATTGAGTTTTGGGAAAAATCCAGCCCAAGGATTCACCCTTGAATGTTTTGCTGTGATAAATAAATTAATAAATAAAATAGGACAGAAACAAAGATTATGTATATTATTTAAATTCTTTCAAATGTAATAAAGCATTTTTGTCACATATAAATGCACTTTAGGCACTGATTTTCACTAGGGATGCAATGAAAGTACATTTACTTTTATTAATTTGGGTCATAATCAGTGGTGGAAAGAGTACTGAAAAATCATACTCAAGTAAAAGTACCATTACATTCCAAAAAATGTAGTGCGAGTAGAGTAAAAAGTACTTGTCCAAAAAACTGATTTGACTGCGTGTACGGACACGCGGAATGACGCGGATGTTAATGGCGTAGACATATACGCATACACGCGGATAGCTCAAAATGCGTAGAGATAACACGCCACCTGATTTGAAAGTGGCGTATATGTTTACGCAAAAGTCATGATGTCATGTTGCCTTTGCAGTGTGTGTTGCGGTGCAGGAGCGTGCTGTTAGTGCGTTCACATATTATGATGCGTTTGCACAGTGAAAAACTGATCCGCGGCTGTACAACAAACACATACTTAATATTTTTATTTAAAGTCCAGAAGTTATGCTGCAACTTTTTTTAAAAAACAAAAAGTGTCGTCAGCATTGCGATTCTTTGTATGCACGTTTAAACACAATTTAAACAATGTAAGTTAGGGCTATTACTCCATGCATTACTTATAAGTTGCTCAAGCAAGTGGTCAAATATTTCCTATATTAAAATCGCAAATAATTTAAATTAAAACTTGAAATTGACAAAAGCAGCCGACTTGCCTTTTCTTTTGCATCTTAATTTTAAAACAATAGATATTGCATGTCACAAAACTTATTTTTCCACCTCCATGATCGAGACGAGTTCATTCTGTCGCCTGGTTGAAGTAAATTGTAGTTTTCCTTGATTAAATGTGCATTTATGGTGAGATTACTACATTTTATTTAATTAAACACATTTATGGTGAATTACTAAATTTTCAGGTCAATCTTTATCATTTTGACCACCAGCGTTTGCAGCACAGCAGAAATAGACAACGCCTGTGATGAGAAGACCAACGCCAGTGAAGAGACGACTCAACGCCTGCGATATGTTATGGCGCCGTTTTATATATAAACAATATTTATATTTAATATTTATATATAAACAATATGAATGTAAGCCAGAGGAGAACTGGCCCCCGACTGAGCCTGGGTTCTCCCAAGGTTTTTTCTCCATCCAATCTGATGGAGTTTTGGTTCCTTGCCACTGTCGCCTTGCTTTTGGCTTGCTTAGTCGGGGTTATTTAATATTTAACAATATTATTGATCTGTGTTGTACTACTTTCATGTTATCACTGTGAAGCTGCTTTGAGACAATCTGTATTGTGAAAAGCGCTATATAAATAAATGTGACTTGACTTGACATGAGATTATGGAGTTGGTTATGTTTGTAAATGTCAATTCTGCTACTCAAGACAGAAAACCCTATAGAGATGTGCCCTCTGTCCTTCCCTGACTGCCGTTTGAGTGAGTGAGTGAGTGAGAGTGAGAATATGTAATCCTTTGACTTACCTGTCCATTACTTTAGAGAGGTTATCAAAGAACTCCCCCACGTTGTGTCTATTAAAGGCAGTAGCTCTTCCACGAGAGGTTCCTTCAGGAGTGCGGCATGACAAGTGGTGGAGTGCTTTAAAGGCTGTGAACCAATCAGGTCCTAGAAAAGGTTAATAGTTTATTAGCATAGGTTTCTCTTTATTTATCCCTTATTGAACCATTTCAGTTTACATTCAGAATTTACATAAGGTAAAGTTAAATGCTCTAAATAAGTACTCAATTTTTCTTCTCTGTAGGATGTGCATGGTGATAGCATAAATGTATCAATGTTCCCTATAACTTTTCCTTAAAAAAAATGCACTCTCAACCTAACCTGCTTTTTTTCTCTCCGATCCAGCTGGCAGGGATATTAATGCCATTTCTTCCTGCATACACAAAAGCCAGCTCACAGCATTTCATGGCATTTATGCTGTGAAACATTGCTGCTAGAGCCTTTATATGATCTGCCAGCTCTGTCTCCATGTATTTTTTGAAGACTTGGTTGACAAGTCTTGTTCTCTTATACCCTGTCTTTGTTACTTCTATCTTTTCTTCTCCATGAATTGTTTCAAGGTCATCCTGTAGATCTTCATCTTCCTTGCCACCTGACGTATGGTCTTTCCCTGTTGCACCTCTTTCACTGCTCTGTCCAACTCCACAAGAGGAGTTGAAGCCCTGTCTGTCTTCCGTTTATAAGTGCGTGGCATGATGGGTTTTGGTCTAAAATTAAGAATGTCACATAGTTTAAGTAATAAAATGTAAGAATGCAATATACAAATTAATAATATGTTGAAAATAATGAAAAGTGGGGGTGAGTTGTGCCACCGGCACAACTTAACCCAGGCCATTTGACACAAATCACCCCAGACCTACATGTTTGAAAAACTAGCATTATCTAGCAGTTAAGAGCTAACATCATGCTAACTCTATTCGCCTTATTCACTTGGCGGCCATTTTGAAAATGGAACGCCGCTGAGGGGTACACTCACCCGGAAGGATGCATGCGACGCAGCAGCACCAGCAATGAAAACTCGCATTGCGGACCACCAATCATTCCTGTCTGCCCGAATTAAAGGGTTAGTTCACCCAAAAATGAAAATTAAGTCATTAATTACTCACCCCCATGCTGTACCAACCCCGTAAGACCTTCGTTCGTCTTCGGAACACAAATGAAGACATTTTTGATTAAATTTGAGAGCTGTGTAACTACCACATTGGCTCCTAAGGGACTGCCTCTTGACGGCCCAGAAAGTCAATGAAGAAAATGTTTAAATATCCCAAGTGACTACCGTGGCTCAACTATATGTTTATCAAGCGACGCGAATACTTTTTGTGCGAAAAAACAAACAAAAATAACGAGTTTATTCGACTATTTCTTTTCTTCCTTGTAGGCCAGAACGAGACTTCCTTAGATTTCCACGACGCATGCGCGAGAATTGCGATCTGCTTACACCAGCTTACACTACTTCAGTTCAGTTCTCGCGCATGCGTCGTGGAAATCTAAGGAAGTCTCGTTCTGGCCTACAAGGAAGAAAAGAAATAGTCGAATAAACTCGTTATTTTTGTTTGTTTTTTCGCACAAAAAGTATTCGCGTCGCTTGATAAACATATAGTTGAGCCACGGTAGTCACTTGGGATATTTAAACATTTTCTTCATTGACTTTCTGGGCCGTCAAGAGGCAGTCCCTTAGGAGCCAATGTGGTAGTTACACAGCTCTCAAATTTAATCAAAAATATCTTCATTTGTGTTCCGAAGACGAACGAAGGTCTTACGGGGTTGGTACAGCATGGGGGTGAGTAATTAATGACTTAATTTTCATTTTTGGGTGAACTAACCCTTTAACGATGCAAAATGTGAAGCAAAGTGCAGTGACTGAAACATCCCCCGGACTGTGTTAATTAAGGGATACAGTACCTGTATCGGAGGTTTTATCCACGGCATTGAACGTAAGAATGGACGCCAATTTACCTCAGTTTCTGCAAGCTTGTGGGAAGTTGACTGTGTACTATTAGAATCTATACAAATCCATAACCATCATTATTTTTATTCTTTATGAATCTATACATATATGTGAACTTGTATTGTCACCATAGCAGCTTATCATTGTCAGTGTGTAACAGGATCAGTCCCTGTCAGACCTTAAAATCACTTCTCCTCTTTCCTTTTACATACCTGTCAGTGATTTGATTGTTTTACATGCATGTGTGTGTATGTAAGCTACTGGATGTGTATCTATCTAAACAATAAAGTACAATTGTATTACACATGGATGATTTCCTTCATAACTTTATAATTTAATATACCGGAACCAGAACAAGTATAAGAAAACATAAAAAAAATCATTAATAGGCACACTGGTAAAGGTTTGTAAAAGTAACTTTGTATATAGAAGTTGGTACAGGGGAATAATGTAAAATGGCCTGCCTGTACTGTAAGCTTGGAAAAGGAACCAGAACATCAGAAAACAATTCAAATCAACTGGCCGTTCAAAAAACAATGATAGGCAGAATTAGTCTAGGTTTGTAAAGGTAACCTTGTACATAGAAGTATGGAAAAACAACCGGAAAAGCTCAGAACATTGGAAATTGCATTAGGAACAAACCATTTAAAAACATTAACAAAAGAGAACTAAATACATAAACAGATTATCAGTGATGTCTTGCTCGTTGGGGGGACAGATGTGTAGCCCATCTTGGCAACGTGTAGACCAGCCTGATTGCACTGTCCCAAGTAGGGATGGGTATCGTTAAGGTTTTATCGGTATTACTACTCTTACCGATACTGCTTATCGATCCGGTACTTTAACGGTATTCTTATCGGTTCTTTTTGGTGTTTTTTTTAAGAATTAAGAACATAATTAACTTTATATTTTGAAATGTAAAAAAAAATTAAAAAAGTAATGCTTATTGTTTTATATACAAAAGATAGGATA